GGGAGGGTGTGGGGCGCGACTCGGACTCTGATAGCAGGGCGCAGAGCGCGTGTGTGGAGAGTGCAAAAAGGCTGTGGTTCAGCAGGCTGGCGAGGCTCCCATCCCCTCACAGGAGCTGCCACCCAGGCGCTCTCAGGCGCGCTCGCAACTCAGGGACCAAGACCTGATTTCTTCGCTGTGCTCTCTTTGGCTCAGCACCAGGGGTGTCTGTCCTCGGTCCGGGGACTTAAGCCCCTGTCCCTAACTACTCCGATTCCTACAATTTCCCCCCACGATCCTTTGCTCTTTTTGAGTGCTTTCAACCAGACTCCAAGTTAATGCTGGTCCCCAGTCTCAGGGCACTCTTGTATTGGGGTATTACATTCTAATGGGTCGCTTCTGGTGGCTCCCTCCCCCTTTTGTTTATCTTCCAATATCAGTCCGATGTTGCCACTCTGGTTTACCTTCCCACTGGCGTCTTCTGCCCCTGTGGAGATCCAGACATGTATAAGTCTAATCTCAGGCTGATTTCATGGGTGATCAGAGTTCTTTGATAGGTAATCAGCTCTCTTTAGGTACAGGTTGAAACAGGGCCTCCTCCTAGTTCCCCATCATCTTGTCTCCCCTGGCTCAGTTCTCTTTACTGTAACTTTGCTCAGTTCTCTTTACTGTAACTTTGCTCTTGGAGTCTTTCTTCCTTCATTTTCTTCTGTCTCTGTATCCCTTTCCATCCAAGCTAGCAGCATTTTGCCAGTATAAAGATTTCAAAAACTGTGTTGGCTTTCTGTGCAATCATGGCTATCCAAGCCATCAGACAGGAAGGTCCTCCATATTTCTTTCCAGCATAACTACATCCCAAGTTCTGGCTTCTGCTGATATGGTTGAGTTCATCCCTGATTCACATGCCAAATCTCCTTAGCAGATGTTTGTCCCACCAAACCATTGGCCCAGTCTCCAGAGCACACTTAAATGGATAGGCTGAGATTTTCCTTTTTGCTTAGCATTTCCTTCATCAATTTATTTCTTCCCTCCTATTTTATGATAAATAACAAAGAAAATAGCCTGCACTTTCCATACTTTCCTTGGAAATATCCTCAACTACATATTCAAGCTCATCACTTTCAAGTTTTACCTGCCACCCAGCAGAAGAACCCAGTTCTGCTACTTTATAACAGGGATCACCTTCCTTCCAGCATTCAATACCATGTTCCTCATTGTCATCAAAGATCTTGGCAAAAACACCTTTTTAACAAAACACTTTCACAAAGTTCACATGTCTAGTGACATTCTGTTCATGACTATGTATGTATTGCTTATGATGACAGAAAGTTTCTTTACTCTTTTCTTATCCAGAACCACTTCCATATTTTTAAGGTATTTGTTATAGCAGTAATGCACTTGGCAATACCAAAAATTTATTAGTTTTCTAAGGCTATATTCATTTCTGAGAACTGCTGTAACAAAGCACCACAAACTGGATGGTTTAAAAACAACAGAAGTGTATTGTCTCACAGTAATGGATGCTGGAAATCCAAAATCAAGGTGCCAATAAGACTTTCCTCGCTCTGAAATCCTTCCCTGCCTCTTCCTGGTAGTGGAACTTGGTCCTTGGTGGTCTTTGCCTTATAGACATATTCCTCCAATCTGTGCATCTGTCTTCATATGGCCTTCTCCCCTGTGTGTCTTTGTCTCTTCTTTTCTGATATGGATATCAATCCTTTTGGATTAAAGCCTACCTTACTCTGGTATGACCTTAAGTCATTACTTCTGCATTAACAAGTGACATTCTGATATACTTGGGGTGAGCACAGCACCATACCTTTTGATGGGGTCACAATTAAACCTGTAATACCCTCATAATAACCATAACAGCCACATCAAGTTGCTACTAGACTTGTCTTATTTTAAGGCATTCTTTTCTTAGGTCCTTCCTACTTATCATTTAATTGTTAATAAACAGAATGAAAAGCAGAATCATCTCACACATTTTTTCATACCTTCAAAGCCTTCCTTATCAGATATTTGCACATGAAAGTATTTTTTTCATAATTAAGTAGCCATCCTGTGTGACATGAAGAAAATATGTTAAAAGTAATACCTCGGTTTGGGTGTTTTAGTATTAACTTCTTATTTTATTAATCATTTATTGTGGTTATGTGAAAATTCCAGTTCTGCAATTGAGACAACTAATTTAGTATTTTCTGTCTTAGAAAGTTGCTGACTTTTAAGGCATTTTCATCTTTAAAGTAGATTCAGTATCAATAATAGCATGAATTTGACTTCCTGCAAGATAGGAACAAATAATCGTGATTCTATATAATAAGTCTTAGGGTAGTGAAATATGGAAGAATTCAATGCGTTCGGACTCCTGACAATTCTCTTTAAATTTGGGCTTAGCATTTTTAACCCATATGTGTATGTTCTTAAAAGGAGCAGCAAGAATAGCCATTCTTATTAGTATTTTGACTTAATATCACAAATAATTTGCTCAAAAAGTATTATCTATTGCTATTGCTTATTATTGTTCTTTGTATTAGTATGTAGACTGAAAGTTTCTTAATTTCCAAATGGGATTGTTAATGTCATTCTTTCGTACTAACGAATTTATGTAGTGCATTCTTTTAAAATGACCTCATTTAACTTCCTGAAGGGTTTAGATGAGTGTTACTATTTGTCAATACTAAGAGGACTAGATTTCTTTAAAAAAAAAAAGTAGATTTCTCTGTGCTGCTGAATTTTACTATTTTTGACTCTGATGTTGTTCCTTGCATTATTTTGGATATTTTTGACTCTTTCTTCCTGAGTATTTTAATTTGGAGATGGGACTTAATCCTTTGTAGTGAGTCAAGCAGTCAATTGAGTGGTAGATCTTGCTGCATGTTCATAAAATCTCACTTCTGTGAGGGGGGAATGGGAAAGTAAGATAGGTATGACAAAATTCTCCCTTGCCAAAGAAACTAATTGTGTCTATATTGTTCACTCCCTTATTTTTCTTCATGAAGCAAATATTGGTAACACTTTAGGAAATAGGAAAGTTTCTGCTGATAAATCCAGTTTCTGTTTCTTCCTTTAGGGGGAAGATTGCATCTTAAACCAAAATATCCTAAAATTTCTCACATTTCCCTTTTCCGTATTTATAGGCCAAGATAATTATAGCAAGATGTTATAGAACTCTTTCTATACTTAACTAATAATAGAAAGCAGAGCTGTAGATAAACAGTACTGCATTCAGAGGAATAGTTGGTATAATTTACAGTGTTTAATTTTTTTTTTTTTTTTTTTTTTTTTTTTTTTTTTTTGGTAATAACAGAACAGTGATCAGGAAGGCATTTTGGTAGGAGCAGAAGTACTGAGTTAAGGAAGCATCTGCACATTTGGCTTCTGGTGATTATGCTCCTTGGGTTGAAAAGGAGTGATAATGGGAGAGAAACTCGGAAATCTCACTGGTAGAGTCAAATCTTGGATCCCTTGAATGCTGGACTCAGGGGTCTAGATTTTATTCTAATAGCAGAGCAGCATAGATTACAGCTTATTGAACTTAGAAAGGAAAGGTTATAAGATATTTGAGGATTAAAGTGACAGCTGTAAAGATGAATTGGTGCTAGGAGTGACTGCAGGTAGAGAAATGAGTTTGCTTTGTTATGCTAGAGTTCAGTGTCTGAAAGTGAAGATGGAAGGATCCTGGTATAAGGACTTCATGCAGGAGACATTTGAAAGGAAGGACTTCTTATCGGTGACGACAGACAGGATTTTTAAGAGTAGACGAGAAGGGAGGGATTGGGAAATGTTGATTATGAATGTAGAAGAATGGAAGAATAATGGTATCATAACAATGTTTGTTTGCAGTTGAAGAAATTATTTTAGGCATGTTGAGTATAAAGTGTTTTCTGAACTTTTAAAGCATTACACCTGTCAAGATTTGAACTCTAGGAATAGATAATACAGTTTGGAGATTATTGAGCTTTGAAATTAATTTGGATGGAGATGATAATCTTATCACCAAAATATTGAGAGACTTATTGTTTCAAGGCTGTTGTTAAGTCAGCCAGTCTGTTGTTAGGTGTGTTAGGGATTGTTTGCATGATAACTGCCCTGTTACATGGAATGTTGGCCTAGACACAATTTAACCTGTTGAAGTCTTTATAGGAAACTTGTTTTATAAGGTGGAACTGCTGACTATGTATTCATGATAATCAAAGTCCTAGTAGACTTAAAATAATCTTTTCTTTGAACTTTTTCCCTTAACACTATTTCTTCTTCTTAGTTATATATTTAAAGTGATGATGGTGGGGGTCTTATGGGTAGGACATAGAAGAGAAGCCAGTCGTTTGCTCTAATTGTTGATTAATCTGTGAGAGTAGATTTATTAATAAACATACATGTGATTAAAATACATCTTGAAGAAAATTTCTCTCAATCTATTGGTTGAATTTTTCTAAACAAACATACATTGGCTATTTTTATTTATTGCAATCCAGGTTTTCAGTTTTATGGGCCTTTCAGCATTCAGTCCATATTCATGATGAGAAGATAATTCTTCTGCTGCAGGCAATCTTATAAAAGTGTGCTTTCTGGGTACCTGGGTGGCTCAGTTGGTTAAGCCACTGCCTTCGCTCACGTCATGATCCTGGAGTCCTGGGATCGAGTCCTGTTTCGGGCTCCCAGCTCCACAGGGAGTCTGCTTCTCCCTCTGACCTCCTCACTCATGCTCTCTCTTGATGTCTCTCTCTCAAATAAACAATAAAATATATTAAAAAAAAGTGTGCTTTCCTTTTAGTTGTTTTTGCAGTAAGTTCTCGATGAACCATACACTGCATTTTATCATTTGTAAATGTGAAGGTATAGGTTGTCATCTCTATTCAGAAAAAAATTGAATTTAACACTCACTGCATATTTGAAAATGTAAAACATTATCCTCAAGTTTGTAGTGAGCATTCATGTATGGTACATTCAAAGTATAACTTAGTTTGACCTTATGTAGCCAGTACAATGTTTAAAGCACACCAACCCTGTTGTTTCAGTGCACCTGCAGGAAAGACATGGTGAAAATCTCAATGGATATCTTTGTGAGGAAATTTCAGCCAGACAGATATCAGCTTTGGAAGCAAGGAAAGGATATATACACCATTGATCACACAAAGCCTACTCCAGAATCCACACCTGAAGTAAAAGCATGGCTGCAGAGGAGGAGGAAAGTAAGAAAAGCATCTAGGAGGTAATGATTTCTTCCCCCCATCCCACTTGTACCTACTCAATAAAAATGGGTCATTGAATTTGATGTTCTCAGAAACTATTCATTTGCTTTCTCCTGTTTATCATCATAAATTTACTTAATATCTTACTGAAAAAAACTGAGGCAAAGTATTTATAATTCTTATAATTATATAAATTATAATTTATAATTCTTAAGTATAATAAGTAAAATATAGTAAAAACTGAGGCAAAGTATTTATAATTCTTATAATTATATAATTTATAATTTATAATTCTTAAGAAATATAATAAGTAAAATATAGGAAGGGGTATATAATGTGCTTGAGAATATTCCTGACATGCTATACATGCCAAAAAGAACAGTCCTGGGGCTTCCTAGACCCCTTACTAATGTACATTAAGGTTGAATTAGTGCTCTGTATTCATCTCCATATTTTTATCAACTTAATAACTTGATGTTGAACCTTTTCATTTAGCTACTGATTTTCTGACTTTAGTTGTTTTCTTCATTTTTTCATTCTTCACTCGAGATACTTTACTCATCAGGATACCTATATTTTGCTACAATGTATACACTTGGTTTTATTTTTTTACAAGGTGTAAAGCAGAGCATGTGGTATTTGTTTAACATGGTTGTCCATGTGAACTTTATCCTATATTCCATTTTTGTGGCCTGAGCCATTTCAGAAGTTTTTTAGGTCATCTGTGGGCATCTTCCTATTTTAAAACCCATTGATGGAGCATGTTGTTATGTTGCTGTCAGGTCCTTAGGCAAAGTTTTTAGGCTCTTATATTTTCCAGGTTTATATTACACGTTTATTCTCCAATATTACTCATTGTTTTTCTTTCATATTGTAAAACTAATATTTGGCAATGGAGAATATTTGTAAAATAAGGAAAAGAATAGTGGAGGAATCGCAAATCACTTATAACATCACCATCCAGTGTTAAAATTTGGTGGATACCCTTTACATATGTGCTTATTATATTACATAATATACTTTTCCAAAACTGGGCATGCTCTGTTAACTCTTTGATGACCAGTTTTGTGAGTGTTCTTCATGTAATTAAATGTTTTCGTACAACATAATACACAATGCCTGCATATATTTAATCCCCTGTGTTTGGGTCAATAGCTTATTTCTACTTTTTGTTTTTGGGGTTTTTTTTGGCCATTAACTAAATAACAGTGTGATTTTAAATCTTTGGCCATACTTCTGATGCTTATTTTCTTACTCTGATATTTATATTTTGCTATTTTAAAATGGTAGTGAGTGGAGGAAACTTAAGAACATGGAGTCACACTTCTGCATTTTATAAGAGAAATAAATACCTGAGGCGTGGAATTAGTAGCAGAACTAAAACTCAGGTGTTCTTATTTTACCCTATAGTTTACAGCAGTGATTTTCAAACTTAGTTTTCAAATAAATTCAGTAGGCTAGTTACAACATTTTAAAATTAGGATGCAAAATAGAATAAAAAGTATTGCAGTTCTTTTCTGTGGTAAGGGCGAGTATTAATTCTTGATGTGTGAACATGTATGTATGAGTGTGTTGTGTCACTATCTAAAATGTGTAACTTATAACCGGTTGGTTGTATTAAAAAAAGTTAGGAAAATACTGATTTAGAGAGTCAATGCCAAAAAGGTGAGGAGGCAGTAGACAATCTGAGTCCAGAAGAAATACCAATAGAACATCTTGAGAATTGTTCTTTAATGGACAGAAAATACAATACTTTAATTAGGTGCATGATCTGGTCTCCTAGTTACTAAAAACAGTGACCCTTTAGTGTTGACAGAGAACATAGATCTATGACATTGAACAGATTTGAAATCCCTTTTAGTAGGTTAAAATAATCAATGGACTTTGCTCACTCAGTTAGATGGCCTCATGTTGCCCATTATGCCCAAGCTTGTGACTTGATCATGGCATTTGCTGCTCTCTCTGTAATGTAATGAATGTAGTGTAATGAAGTGAATGATTCATTGAAATCTCAAAGAGAAATCAGCCATCTTGTTTTACTTGTGCTATGCTATTTATAATGTAAAGATTTCCCACTTGGCCAATGCAATAATGGTGATGATGATAGTAGTACTGCCAATAGCAGCCAAAGCCAATTTACACAGGTTATCCTTGGCTACCACCTTCACCTCAAAAACCTGCCTTCCCTGCCTTCCAGTAGTGAACAGTGGGGTGTGTGTGTGCATGTGTGTGTGTGTGTGTGTGTGTGTGTGTTTGGACATGGAAATACACGTTGCTTAGATTTGAGTTGTAATTCTTAAATGAAAGTGTTGGAAATGTTGTGTGTTATACAAAAGGCATCTATGACAAAGCCATCAAGTGACCTCCTGAAAAATACTGAGAAATAAATTAAAATAGTGTCTACTCTGAAAACAAGAAGTAGATATAAGATGTTAGATACAATTAGTTAGCCTGTCTCCTCTTCTCATTCCTTTAGCTAAATAATGATTTGGCATTTAATTTTGATGATTTTCATGCATGCTCAGAATTAAATGAAACTTAGAATGTAAGTAATATACACAGACTTTAACAACAGCTTGTAGAAATCTCCTCTTTTCCTTTTCCTTTCTTTATTACCTAAAAAACATTTATGACTTTATTATCCCCCATGTCATAATTTTTCACTTTTTTATTTTCAGACTTCTTTTAATATTGTTATAAAATTTTAGCAATATTCCCCAATAATATTTAATAATCAGTTACTTACAGTTGTTTTAAGTTTAATTTTTAGTAAATTGTTATTAAAACTGCTGAGATTTCAATTTCAGATTTAACTTATTAATTGTGAAGATTATTTTTGCATAATAATTAGAAAGGTATCAGTTTGTTCACTACTTTTGGTAAATGAAAATAACATTTGTAATTGCAAATGTCCTGCTCTGACCACAGCTTCTCTTGTTAATAGTTTCCAGTGCACTGGTTCTCACTCTAAGAGGCTTAAGAATGAGGGAAATGAAGAAGTGTCACCTGCAGTTGATGGGGCAGAGGGCCTTACCCCTGACCCAGACCCAGTAGGTCTCAAGGTCAATGGAAAACCAGAAAAAGCAGTGAAGATGGGGAACACAGAACTACCTTCAGAAGAAGAGGCTTCTCCTAGCAGAAAGCAGCTGGATCAGAATTCATCAGATAATGTCAAACTCCCAGGTGAGAAACTGACTATGTTTCACATGTAAGCTGATGTCTTAACTCTGTGTTCTATGACTCATATCTTACCTTTTCACATAGCTTTACCAGCAAGGCATCTAACGCTACAAAGTAGCAGTAAGGAGGCCAAGTGAATGTTGTAGAAGTCGGGAGCATCAGTTATGTGTGATGGAATTAGGAGACAGCCAGCAGTGCCTGTTTGGTTTAATAAAAAAAAAAAAAAATCTAAAATGAAAACTTTTGGGGGGGGTACAACTCAATTTATAATATACAGTACATTTTTGGAAAGCTTCTATTAAATTCACATGGAACAGTAAAAACCAATTATAGATAATGCTTTGCAGATTCTTAGCTTTCACTTAATTTTAAGAAGAAAATAAAGATTAAGGTTTTAGAAAAGGATAATAACAATCATTCAGTTTTGTGAAATGGTTTGGATAGTTCCCTTGCTGTTTCTCTGTACTAAAGTCATGACCTGTAGGTTTCAACTAGTTTGCTTTCTTCCTTTTTATAGTATATGTCTCTGAAATTGCTGTAATGTTTTACCTCTTTAATATTTGTCAGAGATTTTGTCCTTTTACTAATTGAGCTTATTGGTGATTTCTCATACTGCTCATCCAGTTTGTCTTTCAACTGTGGGACTCCCCCAAATCTGGCCATTTACCCCTGGTTCCTCCTTGTTCAAGGTACTTTTATCTCTTGACTGAACTGTTGGCAGAAATTGCTTCTTTTCTGTTTTTCCAGGGTCTACCCTACTCACCCATGCTAGTCACTTCTCCATATGGCAGAGTGATCCTTTTAAAAGATGTAGGTGAGGTCTTGTCCCTACCTCCTTCTTAATCTTATTCCACTTAGAGTAAAAGAAAAAGTCCTTTTCATAGTCCTAATTTGATTCTCTCCTATGTCTTCACTTTCATTAACCTTTGCTCTTGAGATATCTGTGTTTAAATAGAGTTTAAATAATAGACTTTCTTTTAGGGACTTCATACTTTATTGGAGAGCTAGGCAAACATACAGTTACAATCCAGTGTGGTAAGTACCATAATAGAGATGTCCCAGGGTATTACTGATATACCAAGGAAAAAACTCCAAACAGTCCAGAGGCTGTCCTGGGCAAGGTTTCATGGACTAGGTGATATCTGAATTAATTTGTGATGAATGGATAGAAAATTGCAAGAGTGGAGAAGGTAGAGAAAGGAATAGCAAGCAATGCAAAGAACACAGTTAAACTGTACATAGCAGGGAGCCCTCTGTGGTCTCCATCTCAGGACTCCAGGATCGCCACCTGAGCCGAAGACAGATGCTTAACTGACTCAGGCACCCCTGGATTTTTTTAAATAGTTCCTTACCATAGTTTTTAATTACACTGGATTTACTTAACTACTTGATAGATTACTGGGTGGTTTAGGCCAATGGCACCCAGTTTTATTAGTTCTATTGATACATGGTTCCTTGTATTTTGACTTTCAGGGTTTGAGACCCTGCAGAACACTTAGGTACAAAACTTGGGTGCGTTCAGCATCAAAGCCAATATATGATAGGTGAAATGATGCCTATGAATGTTTGTAAGGGAGAGAGAAGAGTGAATAGAGATGGCAGTGGAAGAGATGAGCTCACGATAACCTTTCCCTTTATTTTCAATCAGCATTCTATACAGGTTTAGTGTATGACATACTTTTTATTTGGATCTAACACAGCCTTACATGTGTTTTTTCCATACATCCTCTGAGCTGGAATGTTTTTTATTAGTAGCAGCTCTTAGCATCACGTACTGGAATATAATTCCTATTTTTAGAAAGATTTCAAATTCCTATTGCTTTGGGTTTATTAATTATTAATTTATTAATAATTGCAATGCAATTATTATTGCATTGACTTTTGACATTGGTCAAAGTGTAACCTCTTTTTAAGCTCTAATTTTGTCGGTAAGTATATTCTTTTGCCAAACTAATAAATATGAAGACTTCCTGATGCTATGGTGACTGTTCCCATTCATGTCTGTGAGAGTTTAGAGGAGAAGTTGAAAAACAGAAATTTAGTTGAGAATTATTGTTGAGTAGTAATGCAGTGTAAGATTTACTAACAGTCTTTTGTTTCACTCCCAGGAAACAGTTGCTTAAGCACATCTATAACAGAGGAAATAAAAACTAAGGATGACCAAGCCTATGGTGTAATTCTACCTTCAAATCCCAGTGAAGTTGATGATTCTATATCTAGTGGCAATCTGACATCCAAGGAATCAGACTCACCCAAGCTTCCATGGCCAAAGTCACCTGAGTCGTGTTCTTCAGTGGCAGAGAGTAACAGTGTGTTGACAGAGGGAGAAGAGAGTGATGTGGAGAGCCACAGGAATGGCCTCGAACCAGGGGAAGTGCCAGCCGTCTCCAGTGGAGAGAGAAATGGCCTCGAAGTTCCTGGTGTACGTAGCAATGTCTGTTTTTTCTATATTTATTGTGTAGTGGGAGTACTTTCTGGAGAATACATGCTGTGCATTGAAATCTTGCTTTAGGGTAGCAATAACATTTCCCATTAACAGGTCTTAATCATATTTCCTTTGATGACTGGAGATAAGCCTTTTGTGAACTCTGGTTCACATGGTGATAATTCAGAGAGCATGAAATTTTTGGCTACATGCTATAGTTTAATTTTCTTTTTCTTTAACTTTTTCTAAAATTGAACTTTGAGATAATTATGGGTTCATATGCAGTTGTAAGAAATAATACAGAAAGATTTTGTGTCACCATTTTCCCCCAATAGTACCTTCTTAGAAAACTATAGTAGGATTTCATAATGATACCGACATCTATTACAGAATGGTTCTGTTACCTGTAATATTAACCATACCAGAAAAGGTTCACCTGCAGAACTCTGACCTCCTCCTGCCATCAGTTAAACTTCTGGGTCCCAGGCTTCCCACAACCTCTATTTTAACTCACCTGGTCATGGCTTTCCCTTGTCTCCTCTTGGGCTCTGATTCTAGGACCAGGTTGACCTTTCTGGCCCCACCCACTGCCAGAAACAGGCCTTTTGCCTTTCAGAAAACTCTAGACTTGTCTTGATTGCCAGGTTCCCCATTCTAACTCTTTGCATTTATAGAGAAACTATAAATATGTCTCATATGTTCTTATGCATTTATAGTATATGCTTTCAATATAAACTGTTGCTTTAATCCTAAGATTATGAATGGACCAGACAAGCTCCAGTTGTGTGTAGTGGTTGTCAGAATTCATTACCCTGTATTGACTTATACAACTTGATGAGGTACCTCAAGGGCACAAATAAGGAGAGTATCAATTGTTGGAGGTGATAAATTGAGCTAGCCACCGAACAGACCCACTTCTTACTGCTCTTGCTCATTTCGCCTCACTATAGGCATTTTCACATCTTTGAGTAACAAGGGAGATTAGATAAGGAAATCAGCTTAGAATAGTCAGTTCTTTGTAGTTTTAAAACATAAAATAAAATATAATTTGCTAATTTGACTCAGTAACTTTTACCATCTTATGCATGATTGTATATCCTAGTGAACTATTAAATATTTATCAAAAACGTAAGAGAAATAGAAAAATATGGTCTAATTTATTTGAAATGGTTGCTAAGGGAAATTTGAAAATAGTATTCACATAATAATAAGCAAAATTTACAACTTAACTTCACATGGGGATTAAATGCAGCTGAGCAGATACTGTGATTCTTTGTGGAATGGTGAATGAGTCAAATGCCTGTTTATATTAAGTTTACTCATATTCTTTAGAGTGGAACTGAAAGTAACTTTTCTATATCCTCGTTTTCAATGGAGGTGATTCTACCCTCCGTGCCTTTAACCCTTCTCCTTATCATTTTACTGAACAAAGACTGCCTGCATTGGAAAGCAAACACCGCTGTTGAAGCCTGAGTGACTTGATTTGCTCCTTCTCAGAATCAACTGTGTGATATTCTTTTCTCACAGCATGGTGTCAGGCGGCCATTCTAAGCAGTACAGACCCATTTTGTTCTTATATGGTTTTGACCAGTGTTTCTTAGTACTAAGCGTAATGCTGTGTATATGCTTGCAGCAGTCAGCTTTAGTCAGTCTTTTCAGGAAATATGTTACTTTTGAACAGTGTCTGTCTGTCTATAACTGGGTTCCATACTTTTCCTGGAATACACTGAGTATGTTTACACCTTACATGCTGTTCCAGCTGCTCTACATGGTCCTCTGAGTCCACAGAGTTCCCTCAGGGCACTCAAGATTCCACTAAAATGTCTCCTTGTCAGAAAGGCCTTCTCTGATGACCCCATGTAAAATAGCTCCTTCCCATCTCTTTCTGTTCCTTTGTTCTGCCCTTTTTTTCTTTATTGCATATTTCCTTTTTTCCTCCCAAACAACCCGATTTATTTATTTGAGAAAGAGAGAGTGCACATGCATGAGTGGGAGGGGCAGAGGGAGAGGGAAAGAGAATTTCAAGCAGACTCCATGCTGAGCACAGAGCCCAATGCAGGGCTCAATCTCACAACCCTGAGATCATGACTTGAGCTAAAACCCAGAGTTGGAGGCTTAATTGACTGCGCCACTTAGGTGCCCCTATTGCATATTTCTTAATAGTACCTAGTGAACATAACTATTTAGTTGTTTATTGTCTCTGTGCCTTCCTCCTCTATAATGCACATTCCTTAAAAGCTGAGACCTGGTTTTTCCTGCTGTAGCTCAGTTCTTACAACAATGTGGCAGAAAGTGAGGACTTGATAAGTATTTCATATTAATTTTTAGCTAGTATAAACCACAGATATATCCCATCCTATATTATTTTTTTTGAGGGGTAGTGGGAGAGGGAGAGAAAGAATCTTAAGCAAGTTCCATGCCCAGTACAGAGCCTGATATGGGGCTCGAACTCATGACCCTGAGATCATGACCTGAGCTGCAATCAAGAACAAGACACTTTACTGACTGAGTCACCCAGGTGTGCCTTGTATTATTTTGACATCCTTTCCTTACTCCCAGCTTTGATTAGAATGTTGTCACATATTTTCTCATAATCCTGTTTTGGTGTCAGAAGCCAGTGGAATTTCTCTACTTCCAGGCAGTGCTTCTTCCGCTTACAGGTACATTTCTGAGACTCTTTTCTTTCCTAGTCAATTGTTGATGCAAACACTTTAGTTTCAAACACTTTCTCTGAATACCTACCCCCTTATATTCTGGGGGGGGGGGGGTGGTTGTTTGTTTTTTGAGTGCCTGGGCAAGTAAACTTAAAAGTAGGTTCTATCCGAAGATGTCAGGGTGTGGATGGCCTTCTCATATACCTTTGAAAGGAAAATAGAGTTTGGAGACAACAAGACAAAAAATTCTTTATAAAATTTAAGTGCTTTCAAGATGACAGTAATGTACTATATTAAAAAAAAATCTTTAAATTTCTTAGTTGATCCTCAGAGAAGTGGGGATTCATTTCTGAATGGGAGAAAGTATATAGGCTCACTTTGGCTCACTGATTAAACATAGAAAGCAAAATGACCTGCCAGATTTTCACATGTGGCCACCAAGTGCCACAGTTCTATATAGTTATGAATCTGTAGTCCTAAATTTAGATTAGTTTGGTAGAATTTTGAAAACTTGCTAACTGCTGTGTTAGTTACAAGTTTGATAAACCTACCCTGCACCACAGATAGTGTTTTAATATGCAGTGGAAGGATAGTTAGTTGATCTCTTGGTAAAATAACCAATAGAATGGATTCCTATTTTTTTTGACTTACAGGTTTAAGATTTTTTTTTTTTAAGGATTAATTCCCAAGGAGGTAAATAAGTATAAGAATTCTTTATAATTAAATTGTCATAAATCATTGTGAACCATGGTTTTTTATTCAAAGAAAGTCTTTAACTGTGTTTCTTCTCCATTTTTGTTCTGTGACCAGAGAATAGAGGGAGAAACCAAAACTGCTAAAAGTTGGCGCCATCCACTGAGTAAGCCTCCAGCAAGATCTCCACTGACTCTGGTGAAGCAGCAGGCAACAAGTGATGAAGGTGAGCTTGTGATTTTGCAGTGTTTATTCTCTGTATACTGAATGATAGTCAACATTCATTCTGTCTTTTTGTTATAATAAACTTATCTAAAAATTGCTTGATAGGAAATTTGACCGAGTTGCAAAGACATGCATACCATAAGGAGGTTATAAGAAATAGTTAACAGGCAAAAGGAATTTGGATTTTAAGGGTAAATCCTTGCATCATATAAGCTAGCTATGTTTCTAGTCAAAGTTTTCCCATTTCATATGATGGGATAAAATTGGTCTTTTCTGACATTCACCTAAGATACTCTAGAGGAAGTTGAGAATCACCTCTCTAAAAGTGTCAAATCATGAAGTTACCATGCTATAGATTTCTTTGCATTGTCTTTATTTTTAACTTGAGTCATTTATTTATTTATTTATTCACACTATCTTGAGTAAGAAACTATGTGCAATACTTCCATTTCCTGTTATGCCTGGTATGTGGTTAAACAACTTTTCTCCTTAACTGGATTTTACTGACTTTGCTTGATGTGAAGTAGTTTCATTTACAACCAGTTACTATTCCTGGGTGTAATATTTATCTTTTGTTTTACCTTGCTAACCTTTTCACCTCTCTTTCTCTCTTTTTCCAAAAATGTCTTTTTGTTGCCTTCGATTAAAATCAGACCACTGACTAGCTATTTCTTCCTTGCAAGTATCTCATAGCATTGGGGGTGCTTATTTTTTCCTTCTCTAAAAAGATCAATTTAAACAGGTTTTCTATAAAAAGCCATTCTTCAAAGTATTGTCCTTTACTGGTGCAAACTGTTAAGGTCATGTGCCTGTGAAGATGCTGTCAATGGAATAATGTGAACCTTGGGATTAGGCCTCTTGTTTGGTTTGAATACAGTCATCAGAGTAGACATCTGTAACAGATTGTTTTCTTCTTTACTCACTGTCTTCTTTTATATCCCATGGCTAGTTAGGAAAAAAGATCATCAGTGTAGGGATGGGATAACGACTGTAGCAATTTCCAGAACACCAGCCAAAGGTGGAATTCTGTAATACAAGTAGTGAACCGTATTCATGTTTATTTCCATATGTCATCATGTTCATTTCTTCTTTCTCCTCTTTATTGTACCCAGCACAAACCATTTTCCCCTTAGTGTCAAAATAAAGGACAATTCTGTATAAGGTAATTACTGCTTACTGTGCATTACTTTTGAATTTTAATTACGCTTCTCATCATTGTGTAGTTTTTTGGAAGGGAATGGATTATAGTAACATATAAGGAAAACTACTTTCTCCTGTGTCCTTTTTTCCCCCCCAGTAGTTTATTTTGATGTGGGCCATCATAAATTGGCCCAGAGTTTCTCCATGGAGAACAGTTCTAATTTCATTCAGTATGGTTTACAAAATTTTTAAGTGAATTGGTTTAACAAAATCATCTCAAGGATTTAAGGCTAAATGTCTTGCTGAAACATTAGAGTAATTATAGCTTTTGCAGTCATACACTCTGTATTTTAATATGTTAAGGACATAGTAAAAGGGTCCTCTGAGGATTTTGGAGAATCGAAAATAAAAAAATCAGAGAATTTTAGTGATGACTAAATATTTTTACAACTTTCCATACTAACAATGGGGAATGTTCTGCATCCTGAAGTAAATTATATTTGACCCTTGAACAACACAGGTTTGAATTGTGTGGGTCCACTTATAAGTGAATTTTTTAATAAATACAGTACGGTACTGTAAAAAGTATTTTCTCTTCTCTGTGATTTTCTTAATAAAATTTTCTTTTCGGGGAGCCTGGGTGGCTCAGTCAGTTAAGCATCTTCCTTCCACTGAGGTCATGATTCCAGGGTACTGCGGTCGAGTCCTGCATCAGTCTCCTTGCCCAGCTGCTTCTTCCCCTCTACATGCTTCTTCCTCTGCCTGCTGCTCCCCCTGCTTATGCTCTCTATCTGATAAAGAAAATAAATAAATTCTTTAAAAAATATATTAAAAATAAAATTTTCCTTTTTCTAGCTTACTTTATAGTAAGAATACCATATTTAATGCATATAATATGCAAAACACATGTTGATCGACTCTTTATGTTATTGGTAAGGGTTCTGGTCAATAGTGGGCTATTAGTAGTTAAGTTTTGGTGGAGTTCAAAGTTATATGTGGATTTTCAACTGCGTGGGGGTTTGGCCACCCTAACCCCCAAGTTGTTCAAGGGTCAACTGTATTTATAACCGTTGGAAGTGAATGAACATCATTATTATTAGAAAATGATGAACAGTGGGATTAGTGCTCATCGGGAGCACACAACTCCAAATCTAGCTTCTTTTGGGAATTTTTCTACCCAAACTACTAGGCTCCTTTTGCATCCCTCATATACAAGTAGGTATATTTCAGTCAGGAACATTAACTAGATTAGAGCATCTAAGAAGTTGTGTCTCTAAACAACAGTTTAGTCTTTTGCTGGTGAACGAGCATTTCTCTGTTGAAGTTGGAATTTGACTCCTTAACAGAAAAATAGCAAAAAGAAAAAATATTGATCCAGCATCTCTGGGAATTTGTGTGCAGCCAGGAGATAAGAGTCACCCCTAAGTTGCTCTTCTCAAAAGTACAGTGAAGTGGCTCTTTGATATTTGAATGACCTGAAACTATAGAGACCATTATGGTTAGTGGCAGATCCAGTAATTATAGAATCTGTAAGGATTTCCTGACTCTCAGCTCAACCAGCAAAACACTGGTTGTTGGTGGTAGAGCAGACATGGGTATACATAAGAAAAGAATGATGTTAGAATATAGTATCTTTATATAAAAACTATTCTCTAATTCTTCTTTGTTTTTGTTTTGTTTTTAGTGAAAAAGATCTTAAATGTATACTGAATATTTTATTATTTATAATTGAAAAGAAATGACTAAGCTGCCTCTGGTTTTCTTTTAACTGAAATGTTTTTCAGTTATATTTTTCCTTAAGCTGGGCAGCTGTACAAGGTGATCCTGAAACATGGATTAATATTCTGTATTTTTTCTGTTCATTAAAATAATTATACAAATGTTGGATTAAAACATAAACTTGAAAGAGAAGGTTAGGTGGATCATTTTATTTTTGAGGCATTCTTTATATGTACCTGTCCTCTTCTTGTGATTTGTCAACATAATGGCATATTCTTGTTCTCCAATTTCAATGCTTTGTGGTTGAGTGTCTGTAGGAAGGAGAGTGTGTGTGTGTGGCATGGGAGAACAGACATGCTCCAAGAACAACACTCTTGCCTGGCCACAGAAGGTACTGAGAGTGAGGGGATGAACCAACTATGGTTGGCGGGCTCAGAAGTCTGCCACAGTATTTTTTTTTCCTTCATTGGTGAAGATGGGGACTCAATGACTCTCACATATTTCCCTTAATATTCCAGCTTTGATACAGGATAAGTGACATTAAGGCTGTCATTATCCAGTACCAGCTTTGTTCTCTAGATTCATTCTTCTCAACTACCCTCCACAAATCCTCCTTTTCATCCATTCAGACAACTTTTTTTTCCTTCTGAATGTAATCTACTGCTTTTTACTTCCATGCACTTCCCCCAATTATTGCTTTACATGTGCTACCCTTTCCTTCTTGAATCATTCTCTGCTTACCACTTCTCCTTTCCTACCTCTGCTGTCCTGTTATATGCATACTTACTTAGCTTTAGAATGCCACTTGTCACTTTATATTGTGCTCATCATTTGTCTGTCTCCCTACTCCCACTCCTTTCATCTTGCCTTCCCTTCCTAGTCCAAGGTTAACCGCTGTGGCTTAAATCATCCATGGATCCAAAAGCAGGAAAGTGCTGGTCATCAGTAACTTTGAAATCAGCCGTTAGTCAAATACTTTAATATGATATATGCTTTCATGTTAAGGAAAATGCAAGTTCTTGTCCAGGAAATATTCTCTGTATGCATAAATGTATAGGAAAACATGCAGTTTTAGTTAGCTGGAGAAATATATATATGTATCAGCTAACCCAGTTTTGTATTCCGACTGTATCAGAATCTTCTTTACCACTGTGCCAAATCCTAGGACATGCTCAAAGTTAAAATGAAGCTGCCACATTGCAGACATAGCCAAAGCCTTGGAGACCTGAGGGCCCCCAGAATAACGACATCCCACTGGGACAGTGGCTTGGCTAGCACTGCAGTGTGTATTTGTATCTGTTGCCTTCCTTCCTAGTTTGATGTCGTTCAGATTCAAAAATGTTGAATTCCTCATGCTTTTGCTGACTAGGGTTTTCATCAGCAGTGCTTTAATCGTGCTGGCACAGACTCCAGACCTCCTCTTATACTGATATTCTGGACATGAATTTTGACAGCCTCACTGCCTGAACCCTCATGATTCATTCTTTGTTCTCTGAAGCTATCATCCTGCATATATGTGTGCATTTCTTTTAAATTTACGTGTGTTTCCAATGTAAATTTTCCAGCTTTTCCCACTGTGGACTTCCAAGACGTTCACTGCTTTTGTACTTACTGTGCACCTAACTCCCTTGGTGAATTGATAAGGTTAATGTTTCTGAAGCAAGTGTGCACTCAGGACAGCCCCATAAGCACACAGGAGGCATCATGAACATGGTAGTGGCTGATGCAGTAATACTTTACACAGTGATCCCCACTGTTGTTGGTGGCAGTGGGAGTTGACATACTGATGCTGTCAAGTGGGGTTTTGCTGGAGACTTTGAAAAGTAAGTAGAAAGTTTGTAAGAAAATATATAAGATTGTTATCAGGTGCTCAATTTTGTAATATTGGTAATTTTTCATATTTGATTACATTTTTAAAAAATATGGGCAAAAATGTATTTTAAAGAGACATGGAGGGCACCTGGGTGACTCAGTTTGGTTAAGTGACTGCCTTCAACTCGGGTCATGATCCCGGAGTCCTGCAGTCGAGTCCCATATGTGGAGCGAAATGACATCAGATTGGTAGGGGAGAGCTAATGCTGTGTCTGTTTGGGGTAAATATGCTGGGAGTAGAGTGGAAGCTTAGAAATCAGAGTTAGGACC